TAAAGCCTATTAATTTTTCCATAAATAGAATTTTAAAAAGCCTGGGTCTTGGAAAGGAAAAGGAGGGGGACTATGTCTTGGATTTAATCAGCCACTATTCTCCTACAATAGTGTTTATCCAGTATTTACCTTGAAAAGTAAGGAAAACACTATTGTTACTCTCTGCCACCTGTTAACTGAAGGAACTGGATTCTGATGCATTCTAGCTTTCTTACACCCACAATGAAAATTCGAATCAGGTTTTTGATCTCTGCCTTCTCAGGTCAAGAACAGCTTGCCAAGCAAAGGTCAGTTTTACAATTTTACCCTGCTTTATCCCCACCTGCACTTCACTCCTACATCCTTTGGTGAAAACTGCATGACTTTGAAGTTGAAGGTTGTACTCAGGCAGGCAGAGCAGCTTTACTCCCACCCTGAGTTGGAGAGATAATGGATTCTGCAGAGCAGGTGTCCAATTGACCAAGGTCATGGAACAATGACTCAGTGTAAATATCCAAATTGCAGTTGTGGACAAACTCAGTACATGACAGGTGCAGTGGATGATTGTCCTTTTGTCTAGTTGTCACAGTGATCTGAGGCTACAGAACAACTCAAATGAAGAAGCCTGCCTTAGAAGGTTATATCTTCACTAATCCTGCAGCAACCAGCAGGCTGGCATTACTTGGTGTGAATTTCTGCACTGGTGTGTCTAGATGATTTTCTTTCTCAGGCACTATTTGTTCGGGGTTGGGGGGGGAACGCAAAGTGGAAAAATGAAGTCAGTTTTTTCCTGCCATTTCCAAGGATGAATACTTGTGAAGGACAAGCAGACAATCTCTCCTTAGAAACAGTCAGTCCAAAGAACATAGGAAGTCCTTCAAGAGTTGCAAATAGATGGTAACTTCAAGAAAGACACAAGTAAGAAAATGGGAAGACTCTGCTTCTGGGAAAGAACAGGAATTATAATCAATGAATTACAAGTTCATGATTCTCAGCACTGTACTGAAATTTCAGTGTGAGCCAATGCCTGAAAGTCAAAGGCAAAGACATCAAATACGTGCCAGGTATGAGTGATTAAAATTTAAAAAAAATGCATTTACATTACTGGGATTTAAATAGTCATACACACAGACACACATAGTTGATGAGGTTAAAAATTTTAGAAAACTACTTGAATTTAATATAGAGTAAGGATGTGTATACGAAAATAGTTTGTAACATTTTTTTCTGATTTCATAGATGAAAAGGCTAATGTAATGTTAAATGCTGTGCTCAATGCCAAATCATTAGAAAGTGAATGAGTATAAACCCAAGTTGCTTTATATTTTCTGTGTGGCAAAGAGGTCAGCAAACATTTCTGTAAAGGGCTGTTTGAGAGATAATAATAGCCCTTGAAGGACTTAGAACAGGGTATACATACTAATATTGGCATATAGAATTTTCCCCCATTTCATAATTAAGGAGGTGAGGCTAAGTGACTTATTCAGTGTTATATTTTTATAGAGTGGAAGAGCCCAAATTCAAAGCCATGTCTTTTTACTGTTACATAAGTTCTTTTGGCATTTTAACACAGCACCTGTAGCATGCTAAATATCAGAAAAGGCCTCCAGAAATTTCTGAATATAATGGAGTCCACCAACTTCTCATCCCTCCAGGGCCAGGATAGCAATAGTTGTGAAGGAACGCCTGTTCTCTGTGTTGTAAGTAGAAGCCATATCCTTCTCCTCTTTCTCTAAAGGTACAGTTGGCCAAAAAAAAATTTTTAAGTGCCTACTATGTGCCAGACATTGTCCTAGTTGCTGGGATATAGTGACAAATTCCTTACCATCAGGGGACTTATATATTAGTGGGGGGTAGACAATAAGTATCAACTGACTAAATAAATCCTATCAGGTTCTGATAAGTGTTAGGAAGAAAATAAAAGAGGGTAGTATAATTGAAATTGGTGCTGGCAGTTTAGGGCGGGGCCTGAGTTAGGCTGGGTTTTTCAGCTAGGCTGGTTGGTGGGTTCTTTAAGTAGGAAGATTGCTGAAGTAGCAATAAGGATACCCAAAGTAGTAGCTTGAATATCGGAAATGGTGAATGGTGAAATGAGATAATATTTCCAATATATATTATTGTTATAGACCAGATGACCATTCAGTGTCTGGACTCCGGGCTAAGAAATGTGTACATGCAGATAAAGAATGTGGCAGCTTCTGGGGGGGTGGTGGTGGGTAAAGGTAGGCTTTCCTAAAAGAGACAGAATAATGGTAGTGCCAGTATAGAATCACTGCCTTACCCTAAAGTTAACTTACAATATCTTTTTAAAAAGGAAAATAAATAATGGTTGATACACCCAACACTTACCACGTGCAAGCATTTTACATGAATTATCTCACACATGAGGATCACCTCACAGAGACTATTATCCACATAGTACAAATGAAGAAACTGAGGCATAGGTGGTTTAGACAGCTTTCCCTTGGAGGACTGAAAAATGTCAATCCCTCATGATATCCATGTCCTAATCGCACAACCTGTGAATCTGCTATATTAAAAGGTAAGGGACTTTGCAAATGTGATTTAACTAAGAATTTTGAGATGGGGAAATTACTCTGGATTAAAAGGTTTTTTCATCATAAAGATTGTTAAAAGAATTAGAAAGAAGATAGAAGAGGTCAGAGTGATGTGGCCAGCAGCCAAGGGATACAGGCAGCTTCTAAAAGCTGGAAAACTCAAGGAATTAGATTGTCTCCTAAAGCTTCCAAAAGGAATGTAACCTTGATTTTAGCACAGTGAAAATGATTTCAGACTTCTGACCTCCAAAACAGTAATATAATAAGATTGTCTTGCCTTAAGCCACTATATTAGTGGTCATTTGTTACATCAGCAATAGGAAACTAATACACTGCCTAAGGCCAAAGAGGTACCAAGTATTAAGGTCAGGTTTAAAATTGAGACAATCTGGTGCCAGTGCCAGAGATATTTTTTTTTAAGATTTATTTCTTATTTATACAATAGGTGGGGTACAGGCCAGAGGCACGGAAGGTTGAGAGGATTCACCAGAGACAGAGTGGGGAGCAGAATAGGCAGACGGACCAAAAACACTGCTGAGGGGAGGGGAGCAGTGGGCACGACAGGAGAGGTCTGCCATGCCATGCAGGAATCTCCCTGGCTGGCCGGGAATCCAACCTGCGCTGAAGAGGCTGAGGGCGGTTTCACAGTGCTGTGCTCAACCTGCTGCGCCACCAGGGAGGCCCCAGAGATTTTTTTTAAAGATTTATTTATTTATGCATACAAGAACTGGGGAACAGGCCAGAGGTGGGGGGGTGAGAGGATTCACCAGAGACAGAGTGGGGAACAGAACAGGCAGACTGACCGAAATATGCTGCTGAGAGGAGCAGCAGGTGAGTCAAGAAAGGTCTGCTGCGCCATGTGGGTCACCTCCCCTGCTGGGGATTGAACTAGTGCTGCAGTGGCTGTGGATAGCTTCAGAGTGCTGCATCTTAACCCCTTGTGCCACCAGGGAGGCTCCCAGTTCCAAAGATTTAACTACTGTGTTATAGGGTCTCTCAGAGGCAGAATAAAATGTTAAATGCAAAATAAGTGTACCAAGATTTTCTTCTTATGCTCAGAATTCCAGCTCCCAGAGAAATTAAAAAAAAAAAAGGAAAGAGGATTCTGTGCCAGGGCCTCCCCGGTGGCGCAGGGCTGCGAAGCTGCCCACAGCCTCTGCAGCGCCGGTTCAATCCCCGGTCACCAGCGAACGTCCCACATGGTGCGCAGACCTCTCCTGCCGCCCACTGCTCTGGGGAATTCTCTCACCCTCCCGCGCTTCTGACCGTACCCAGTGCTTGTATAAATAAATAAATAAATCTTAAAAAAAAAAAAAAAAGAGGATCCTGTACCAGTTAACATATGCCAATCCTCTTCCCTGTTCCCTTTGCTGCTCCACCTCTTCAGTCTTGGACACAAGATATCACTAAATAAACCTCAATTTAGAGATGACTAAAGGGTTATTTTGAACTTATCCAGCTGGTTGGTAAAACAATCTGCTAGTTACACAAGTGGCAGGTGGTAATGTGGGGACACTGATCTTAGGGCCTGTGCGGTACTCAAGGAAGGAGGCTGTGTGCCAAGGGAGGACCAAAGGAGCCAGATTTCCTGAAACCTGGAAATTTCCTGCATATTTCTCATCTTTCTCTTAGGAAGAAGGAGAGAAGTGCTAATTACACATTAACCCAATGTGATACCTCCAGAAGAGTGCAAGAGCCAACTGTAGCAAACTTTTAGTTCCTCTAATTATTCCCAATATGAGCCACTTTTACAGCCTGCTGGCTGCGCGAGGCTCGCTGACATTTTCTAGGACACAGTGGGCACTCATACATATTAATTGAATTAAACAGAACGCTTAAGATAGCATCCAGAGAGCAGAGCTTTGCAAACTTTAGGGTGCATACAAATTCCCTAGGTATCTGGTTAAAACACAGATTTAGAGTCAGAGTTCTGGTGGCTGCCTGACTTGGGGTAGTTCTACGAAGTTCCCATAGGATGCCGATACTGCTGGCTCATGGTCTGTATTTTTCAAGGTCCCTTGAAAAATGAGACCTCCTTATGCCTAGACAAAACATGCCATTCAACTTTTACTTAAAGTTTACAAAAATGACATAGAAGTAGATTTTTCCCCATTGGAGAACCTCTGCTCGCCAGCGAAGGGAGCCAATTCATGCCAGGGTTCATGGCAAGAGTGGGAACCGTGCCCCAAATTCCGGCTCCCTGAACTCTGCTCTCATCTTCCGGAGACAAGGAAGGTGTAATGAGAGGGAGGAGGGACGTATCCAGGGGCTCCCGCGCCTCCGTTCCTGCCCCACTTCCAGCCTTTAAGGAGCATTTGCCCCCTTGCGAAGCGCGGAGGTCACGGGCAAACACACTGGCGCGCCGCGCCCTTGCCCGGGCGGAGGCGGCCGCCGCGCGTGCGTGCACTCTCAGTATAAATAGATCCCAGGCGGCGGCCACTGGACAGAGCCGGGCTGCGGGCACCGCCGGCCATGGCGGGCGAGGACCACCGGTGGCAGGGCAGCATCCTCTACAACATGCTCATGAGCGCTAAGCAAACACTGGCGGCTCCGGAGGCGCCCGAGGCTCGGCTGGGGGGCTCGTGCTGGGGCTGCTCCTGCGGCTCGGAGCCCCCGGTGGGCAGAGAGGGGCTGCCGGGGGGGCGTGCAGTGGCGCTCCTCTACCGCTGCTGTTTTTGCGGTGAAGACCACCCCCGGCAGGGCAGCATCCTCTACAACATGCTCACAAGCGCAAAGCAAATGCAGGCGGCCCGAGAGGCGCCCGAGACGCGAGTGGGGGGCCCGTGCTGGGGCTGCTCGTGCGGCTCGGAGCCCGGAGTGGGCAGAGAGGTGGGCACAGAGGCACTGCCGGGCGGCCGGGCCACGGCGCTCCTGTACCGCTGCTGCTTTTGCGGAGAAGACCACCCGCGGCAGGGCAGCATCCTCTACAGCTTGCTCACCAGCGCCAAGCAAACGCACGTGGCTCCGGAAGCCCCCGAGGCGCGGCTGGGAGGCTCCTGGTGGGACCGGTCCTACTGCGCGCAGAGGCCGGGGGGCAGAGAGGAGCAGCTGGGCGGGAGGGTCGTGGCGCCCCTGTGCCGCTGCTGCTGCTGTGATGAAGACCACCCGCAGCCGGGCGGCATCCTGTACCACAAGCCCGGGAGCGCAAAGCAAACGCACGCGGCTCCCGAGATGCCATCGGGGGCCCCCTGGTGGGACCCCCCGTGTGGCGCGGAGCGCCGGGTGACCCTCAAAAGTCCACAGGTGGTCTGCGAGGCAGCTTCTGCGGGCCTGCTCAAGACGCTGCGCTTCGTCAAGTACTTGCCCTGCTTCCAAGTGCTGCCCCTCGACCAGCAACTGGTGCTGGTGCGCAGCTGCTGGGCGCCGCTGCTCATGCTGGAGCTAGCTCAGGACCGCTTGAACTTTGAGACGGTGGAGACCTCGGAGCCCAGCCTGCTGCAGAGGATCCTCACCACCAGGCGGCAGGAGACGGCGGGAGAGGAGCCGCCGCCCCTGCCCACGGGGCCGCTACACTTGGTACCACCACCCGAGGCTGGGCGTCTGCCTTCGGCTGCCGAGGTCCAAGCCATCAAAGGCTTCCTTGCCAAGTGCTGGAGCCTGGACATCAGCACCAAGGAGTACGCCTACCTCAAGGGGACCGTGCTCTTTAACCCGGGTAAGGGGCGCCGGCCTGGGGCTTTGGCATTCCTTAGCTCAGAAAAGCATTGGACAGTGCCCACCCCGGGCTCAGGTACTGAAGGTTTTCCGTGCTCAGGGCAGTATCAGGGGCCAAGTGAAGACTTGCCACTGACAGCAGAGTTGGGGCTGCTCCAGAAACGCTCTGGCAGCGTGGGTGGGCTGCTGTCACAAAGTCAGCCAAAGGTGGGTTGAGGGGAGTTCGTTGAAGTTTCCACACTGTTCTGTCAGTACAGGAAAGTTTGTGCCATTAAAGGATATGACTACTCCTTCTCCTTTAGCCTTTTACATAGTGACATAGCTTTTTAAAAAAAAAAAAAAAACTTTGTGTTCACTGCCAATTCTGCAATCTATCTGAAACCCATTCCTGAAATTTACTAGAACATTTTGGTTGGAGGAAATGTATTAAGGCTGTCAGGAAAGGAATCTTTGTTAAGAACCCATCTAGAGAGCAATCCTGGGGACACCGTCAGACAGGATACTAGATTTAGAGTTGAATGGTCATTTTTATGGTCCTAAGGAGCTGGCCTGTCTCATCCTCCAAGTCTTTGAGTATCTGGCTAGTAAAGGGGCAGGAAAAAAAAAAAAACACTAGGGACAGAAAGCAGGAGCGCTATACTTTAGAGACCGAAGAGACCTTCTAGTCACCCCCTGTGCAGGTAGCCTAGTCCCAAGTGACCTTTCTGCAACATAAATGACCAGGGAGTCATGGATAATGGGTCCCCTGGCTCTTGGACCCAGTGGGATGTCGGCTGCACCACACTCTCTTGGTTGCTGGACACTCGTCCCACACAAGGCAACAAAATCATAGAAGACCATCTCCCTGAACAGCCCAGCACCCGGTGGAGTATGTTCTCCTACTAGAGTCATCTTTCAGCATCTTTCCAAAACTGTCACAACTGGGCAGGAAAGTTCCAGGCAGCTTGAGTTGGAGTAGTTTTGCTAATGCTCCCTCCACAGCTTTTCCCCCTGATATCAGGAGTCTCAGGTTATGTCCCTAGCTTCTGCTGAGCATTTTTGAAGGCTATAGAGCAGTATTAAGTGGGAAATTCATGCATTTAGTACTCACGTTTCAGGGTGTAGAGACTTCAGCTCATCCCAGTGATCCTTGTGGGCCAGCTTTTCTTTTATCACTGTCTTCCAAACGTGCCTGTGCATATGAAGCACTGGGGATGGGGCAGCTTGTTTAAAGTCTTTCCAGGCACCTCCCCTAGAGGTTCTTATTCAGCAGCTCTGGTCCAGGGTCTGCAAATCTGCATTCCTTAATAAGTACCCCCAGGTGGTTAAGGTCACTTGGAAAAGTGTTTGCTCGCTCCTTCAGCCACAGTTATTAAGCATCTACTGTGGGCCTGGTTCTGCTGGGATACAAAGGTGAGACAGCTCAGCTTCCAGAAGTTTACATTCCACTAGTCACCCCATTTCCATCACCCTGTTTGCATACAGTATCTCTCACAAACACACACCTCTCCCTTATTCAACTGTCTTTCCAAATCTTCTCTTAAACACAAATGCACCTCACTTAGAGGAAAAGAAATGCATGTTAAATGCATGGCCTGTCTTTGTTTTTATCCTTTTGCATTCCCTGATCTTTATGTTGAAACTTTTAAGGTAAAGATTTTTTTTTGTTTGTTTTTAAAGCAACTGGGGTGGGGATGTCGATAAGGAGGGGTGTGGTAGGAAAGCAGAGAAAAGTGATGTTTCTTACCCTCAGCAGTAAAGCTGGATCTCAAGCCTGGACAATAAGCTATTAATAAGATGTTAATGCTTAGACTGGGGCAACCAATTGGTATAGGAACTAGAGATGTTGTTTTATTTTCTTCTCCTTTCATTTGACAGATGACGCTTGCTTATGATAGAAATGACTTGCCTATTGCCATTTTTTTTTAAAGAACACTACATCGTTTTGCTACTCTGTGATGATTAGTATGATTCTTTCAAAATGCTTTCCTGTTGCAATTTCTAGAAAAAAAAAGGGAAGGGAAATTATTGCAATAACCATGGATCTCATTTAAAAAGAACAGTAAATTGGTACTCACTTAAATACAGATTAAATAACTTTAGTGTAATATTACTGTCATGGAGGGTAAGACTTTTTTAAACAGCCTCCCCTTACTCTCTTCTTTATAAAACTTACAAGCACATCATCTTTCCTGCATGTGTTTAGATCACTTTTACTTAGGTATCACACTGTACTGCAAGAACGTCATGCGTTTTCTATTAGAAAAGTTACTTTTGAACCATGGTGCAATCCGTGAGGTTTCACGTTTACTTTTTAACCTTTTAATGACTGTAAGAGGATGCTATCAAAGGCTTCTTCCTTCAAAACAGTGTTTTTGCAAGATTCCCAGGGAACACTCATTAGAATCCCTTTACTTTCACCTTCCTCAACACAGAAATCAAGATAGCATGGGTTAAGTGGCCACTGTTATCCTTCAATTATTATAGGATGCTAGACTAACATCAGCCAGTAGGCAAATAATGAAAGGCTCTACAGTCACAGTTTGGGGTTGTGTTTACAACCATCGTGTAGCTGATCATTATAAGGTGGGAAATTTGAGGGAGGATGGTATAACATCTGTCATCTGACAAAACTTCTCATTATGCATATCTTCATATTTGTCCAGACAGTGAACTGGAGCAATGATTCATTAAGTGGCATTCTACTATCACGGTGACTTAAGGGTACATTTGTTGGCTGGGGACCTGTCATTTCTAAAGGTGAGGATCCAAGTATAGTGAAACTATGCAATAATTGTATGGTGTTTTATTCTTGGAAGCATTGCTTCTGAAAACTTAGCACAGGTTCAACATTTTATCGTCGCCCTGGAAAGCCCTTTGGATCAGGAAGTTTGAGCTCTTGTGGAAACCTGGGATAGGGCACAAATGGATATATTTTAGAAGCTAGCAAAGGACTCTTGAGTGAGTGAGCTGTTTATGACAGAGTTTTCTCCCTTCTCTTCCAGACCTGCCAGGCCTGCAGTGTGTGAAGTACATTCAGGGACTTCAGTGGGGAACTCAGCAGATACTCAGCGAACACGTCAAGATGACACACAGTGGGCACCAGGCCAGATTCGCCCAACTGAATAGTGCCCTTTTCCTGCTGAGATTCATCAATGCCAATGTCATCGCTGAACTGTTCTTCAGGCCCATCATTGGCACAGTCAGCATGGATGATATGATGCTGGAAATGCTCTGTGCAAAGTTATGAAAGCGTGGGTGCCACACAAGTGCAGTTCACCATGAAGGAAAGATAAGGCGCTGTGTGCAGAGTGTAAAATAGTGTAAAATAAATTTTCATATTATTTTTACATGCAGAGTAATTTTGTATTCAATTAAAAAGAAACCTTAGCAACAGACAATTAGAAAATCCTCTGTTCTGTACTGTTCCATTGTGAAGGAAAATATTGGCCAACAGTAAACGCACCTCTAGATCTTTAAAGAATGGGCAGGAACTGTGCTAATAAGTGATTTTCATAAGTTTAGGGACTCTGCATTAACTTGCTAAAATCAAATTTGCAGTATGAAGTTACAATAAACATTAAGGTGTTAACCATTAACTTGTTGAAAAAAGTTTCATCAGAGTTTAAGTGAGGCTTAAAAAAAAAACTAAAAACTTGGCCAACATAAGCGAAAATCATCTTCATGGGTAGCAAATTTTAATATGACATGCCAGTGTCGGTTAGGGTTGACTTTGTTAATTTCATTTCTACTTCCAACAGTTGTATGGAAGAGTCTTTGTACCAAGTAGTACAATGTGTGATGGTAAAGGCACCTGAAAGGTTTTCCAGTTTTACTTTGGGGTTTTTCTACACAAAGTTCAACAAGAAATGTACATCCCATGAGATATAGTTCCAGAAAGTGTAATATCATTATGAACTCCTAGTTCTATCCCACCTTTTAGATCCATTATATGTGTATGTAATATATATATAATATGCAATATATATATATACACACACATTACATATATACCATGTATAACTCATAGTGAGTAATCACGGCATGAAATCATAAAATGATTTTATTGTTGGTTCCCGCAGCCCCTTTAAATGTAATCTGTACAATTAATTCTTCCTTATCAGATGAAATTCAGGGCCCTACATGTCCATTCACTTATGTAATAAGCGTAATAAACTGCCCATTAGTGATGAATAATTCTGTCCAGGGTAATGACCCATCACAGGGAGTTAAATTTTCTTTTGTGCAGACCCCTTTGGCAGTTGAGTAAATTCTATATACAGCTCAGATCAGGCTCTTGGAAGAGTGCAGCAAATAACATTTGTAGGATTACAGAGAAAGTTAAGTCAAAGTGTAATATCAAAGACGTTAAATTTTAAAAGTACTTCAAAATGTGGGATAATAATGAAACAGGGCTATAGCAGGGGCTATAACCCTCCAAGGACAGCGCCCAATAGAGAACTGGTCACTGGGTTTTCACCTGTGTGCACAATTGCAAGATCTCTCAGGGTCAGGGAACAATGGGGCTTATATAACAAACAGGGGAAACAAAGCGTTCCTAAGGTCACGGATGACCGGCTATCTCACCCTAGAGTCCACAGTGTCCAGAAGTCCCAAACAAAAGGCCGCTCCTCCAAGATGGCTCCTCCAGCCAATGAGGGCCTGGAGCTCGAGGCGGCTGGCAAGCGGCTGACAAGCAGCCGGAGGCATCCACCAGCGGAGCGGCTGAGATGATGCCCAGCAGCCAGAAGCCACAGTCTAAAGGCTGGATAGACAGCCCTGGATGCCGGACCAGACAGCAAGGAGGCAACTGCAGGGATGGTCAGATAAACAGCTCTTTGAGACACCAGGCCCGGGGCCTTTAGTGCGCTTTTCAGATGGAGCCCGGTGCAGCCGCATGGTGGCTGCAAAGCTCTGTCTTATCTCTTCAGTGGTCGTCTCCTGGATGCCTCTTTCTTCTTTCCTCAGGGGCCACGAACAGAACGGGAGTCTGAGGGTCCCCAGCTGGCGCCTGCCCTACCTTATATCCTCTTTCAGGGTTGCCCACCCTAGTTGAAACCTGCCCTATTGGATCATTTTCAATTCTGAGTGCCCATTGGACCATTTTAGGACCAATCATTCCTGAATAATTAACTAATGCGCTGATGCACATGATCAGTTCATTCAGTTCGTACCTCATCAGCCCATTCTGTGATTCCGGCGCCAAATAGAAAATGGCCAGGGCTGGCGCTGCCATCAAGCCCCACCACCGCCAGACCTCCTGTCTGAGTGCTGCCCAAAGGCAACCCTCTGGCCGACCAGCGGGGAGCTAAGAAGCTCCTATTCAAACATGGCTGACTGCCGCCTGGAGGAGGGGCTGCCACACACAGGCTGCAACCTCTGGGGGGGATGGGGGCGCTTTTCCAATTGGCTCTCACTGCTTAGCCCGTGGTGGGAAAAAGGGCCGCGCTGTGGGGCCCTGATTTCAAGAAATACATTTGCTTCTTTACCAACACATTAAATAACAAACTATATGACGACACATCAGCCATACTATCAAAGCAGTGATCGATATAATTGAAATTTCAAGATAATCTATAACATCTATATTTTGAGAAGAAAAAAAAAACCTTTGTTTGCACTGGTGATTGTTGGAGGACCCCAATATCACCACCTCCTTCAGAGTTTTGCTAGAAGATCTCATGGGGGCTCACCCCATAGTGGGGCTCAGAGCTAAGACTTATTCCAGAGGTGTGGTAAGGTTATGCAGCTGGATCTTAAGGGGGAAAGCCACAAGCACACCCTGGAGAAATCCACATGCCAGCTTCCTTCTGTTCTCTCCTTCCCCAGCAATGAAAATTCAGTCTGATTTCAGCCCAAGGAATCCTTTTGAGACTCTGAGTTGATGGATTTTATAGAGGGCTGGTCACATAGGCACATTCTATCTAGCACGTACCCAAATTCCAAGCACACAGAAAGGAAGCAGGTACTCAGCAAACACCCCATTGTTTGCACAGTCTATGCACAGTGGGTTACCCTTCTGAGCTAGTGCTAGAGGGAAAGGATGTCCCGAGCTAATTCCATGCCCTGTAACACTAGGAGAGGGCAGGAACACTCCCAAAATCGAAGTTGCCAGATGTCAGCCAAGGGTCAACTTTGCAAGCAGGTCATTCTAAGGATTGCAGTCTGCCGCTTACAGTTAACTTGCCTGCAAGATCCACGCCCTTATCAGTAGGCTGGGGCCAACCTGCAGGATTGAGCTCACTCATGTCCTGCAAGGGTTCTGGACTTTGCTACAATAGCTACCACCCATCTCAGTAACTCTAAAGACAGGTCATGGAAAGATGGTTTTCTCTGTAAGTTTCTCTATTAAGTCTTATTTTTTTTTTTTTTTTAAGCCTGAGAAGAGGTTTCAATTTAGACCCAGCATAGCTTTGGGCCATATAGGGGGTTGACCTGAAGCCTTTCCAGGGCCGAGGCAGGAGCACTGTGGTCAGGACTCACATCCAAGAAGCACAGTCCTGGAGGGCACAGGTGTCCCCTGGAATTGAGGAATTTGCTGTGTCCAGGCCCCCCAAACAGGGCCTGCATTGGACAGACAGTACAGCCTCACGGGATCCCCAATGAAGCCGCCCACCTCGGTTGTTCCTGCCCCAGGGTTCTCAGGCCAGTCCGAGAGATTGAGTGATCGGGTCCAGTTCTTGCTTTCAAAGGGACTGCCTGTGGCGGTCATTTCTAAAGGGTTCCATGTGTGATGCTGGCTCATCACTTGCCCAGCATGGCAGTTATTACGCAGGAACTGGCCACACAGTTGCACAGTCGCACAGTCACATGGTATGGGCTCTGCAGTCCTGAATGCCAAGTCCCAACCCAGCGGCTTGCAAAGGCAGCATGAGTGAGCGATTTTTCTTCAGAAATGGGAAAGCTTCCAGGAACATTCCCCGGGGAAATAAAGATCAGTAATATCCTGCGCCTGCCCCTGCCCCTCTGGGGGTGCCAGGGTTTTGTTTGTTTTCTCTGTTGTTACAAAATTACTGTTTCATTCACTAATCCTAACTTTACAATTTTTCCCTTTTTTGCCCAGAACTTTGATCTGGAAGAGTTGTGTGCTACAGGGACAAAAGCGTAGTCACTAATAACATTTTTATCCACTTAATCAGAAAGACACATCATATTCAGGAAATGATCAGGGTAAAGGCCTGATTTTTCAGTATTTTTAAAAGTGGGTTTATATCACCCCTCCTCCCTGCCCCCACCTCTTGTCCTTATCTTTTATCCAGGGAACAGCCTAGAAAAGATCAATCTCTTTCTGGAGGCAGCTACAGTCATTGGCTGACCCCCCTGATTTGGTAAGTTGTGTCCTGCAGGAGAAAGAGGGGGATGGAGATTCAGGCTGTCAGCCCATTCTCGCAAAATGTAACTGAGAAGCAAGACACAAGTCAAGAGTTGTGAACATTCCACCCACCCCCACCCAGAGGAAGTGGGTGCCCCTCTGAGTGAGGTGGGTCGAGGAGTCACCTTCCCCACGACTGTCCTCCCACAACTTGCAGCTTTTAGCAGGAATCATAAATTAGGCATCAGAAAATATTGAGCCCATCCACAGCTCCATTTCAAATGTTCCCATCTGAGAACAAGCCCTTTCCCTGGGGCCTCTGCAAAGGACTCAGCTGGGGCAGCCAGCATCCAAGATGTTCTCACCGCTAGGATTCTGAAAAGGGGGTTCCTAAATTTACAAGCAGCCCGGAGTCAGAGTCCTATTCTTGAACCATGCCTGCTTCAGCTGGGCACAGGTCCATGAGAACCCTGAAGCAGCCCAGGGTGGGCAACTATCAAATTTCAGCTGGGGGAGGGGAGTCCAGACATTTCAATCTGTGAATTCAGTATTTTACAAATGCCAGTGGCTTTTCCTCAGCAGCTTCAAAGCTGAGACCCTGCAGGGCTACATGACAGTGTTCCAAGTCCAAGTGACAAGTGAGGATTTTCAAAGTACTTTGCAACTTGCCAGTGGCTTTGGGGGTCCAAATTGACCCATGCAAAAATAGATAATACACCAACCCACAAAAGCGTCAGTCCAGAAAGGTCAGAAATCTGATTTTAGAAGAGCTCACTAGCAAAATAAAAACTGCTTTCAGAATTTGCTAAAATATCTCTTCCTCTGGAGATTGGGGCCCTTTTTTCAGAGAATTCATTGGCAAAAAAGCAGAGTTCTGTCCCATAAACCCTCATCTTTCCTCACAGCTTTCCCTGGTTGAGATGCACACTCTAGCATTTACAAAATTAAAAGCATGTAACATTTTACAAGCATTTTATCCTATATCCAGACTCAAGAGCCACACAATGCAAAGCCATGATTGAAAATTAATATTTTCCCCTTTATTACAAGTTTACTCAAACTTAAGCAGTAAATTCACCATTTAAACAGGTTCACTCCACAGCTTCCAGAACTCAGCTGGAGTGCAAGCAGAGGGGGAGGGGAGCTCAGTAGTCCTAGGCTGAAGAAATGGCCAGGCTGGATTTTGCTTTCTTTTTCCCTCTGTTTTATCTAAAACCTTGCTTCATCCTTGGGGGTGGATTTAACCTTTTTTTTTTCTTCTAACTTAGAGGAGCAACTACAGACTAATAACCTTGAGCTCTTTTTACAGACTAGATTATGTTTGAGCTCTTTCTCCCCCTACCCAGAGGGGAGATTATAAACAAACAAGTCACCACCTGGGTGATTTTTCTCTCCCTTTAGTCTGCTTGGTCAAAAGCAGCTACCCAACTCTCCTAGGGACAGATTTCTCATCTTTAAATTCCATATATAACTTTTACCTCTGACCACAAACAGCAGCTCAGCTGCTGCTTCACACACCAGTTAACTTCACAGAAACCCAGGTACCAGGATGTAGTCATGCCCTGCCTCTCTTTCCTGCCCCCAAGAGTCCTGCAGCTATAGTTCATTGAGTCGGGATCATTCTA